AACACCTCTGCTAGTCTGAAGCTCTCTCTGTTTCATAAAGTTCCTGCAAAATTAGAATATGAAAAAATCTCATTTTGTTACTTTTTCATTCATATTTTTTTGATCAGGAACTGCCATGCCTAAGTTATTTGTTGGTTGTTCGTATTTGTATCTCTCTATTTCTTGTCTGTTTTAGTTGAATAAGAAGGACCCAATAAATGATGACACATTGATTAAACTTAAAAAAGATCGGGGATACTGTTATGAAGACGAAATTACATGCTCAAAAGAGTGCCTGCCTAATTATGATGAAAAGGTAAAGTATCCTTCCTTCAACAAAATACTCATATGGAGCCGAGAGTACTGTAAAAATTGGATTGCATTTTGCAAAAAGGAACCACTAGCATTGCAATAATGCTAAGATTGTGCAACTTCATCTTTTGCAATAAAATTGCGGAAATCGTGAAAAACTATGAAATTTAGATGGTAATTTTTGTCTTAGATTTACAATTTTTAGCGAGTAAAATAGAAACTATTAATGGATAATTGGGTTTTTCCTCCAAGATAAAAGAAGTTGCACGATCTTAGCAACATTGCAATGCTAGTGGTTCCTTTTTGCAAAATGCAATCCAATTATCCTCTGAATGAGATTGGTGAAGTATGATGATAAAATTTTCATCATTAGATGGCTAAGTCATGTAAGCCACGACTTTTCAGGAAATTCCACACAAATTTTTTTCATGGAAAATTGTTATGCATTTAGTCTTACTGGGGGCTGCTGGCTGGATTACAGAGAATGAAAAGAACCTAAACTGGGATTAGAACAATGCTTAATTTGTGGAGGCATTTTCATCTAGTTACCAACATTATACATTTTAATTTTATTGCAAATATTTCATAGCTCGTAAGTGCCTAAATTGCCAAACTTAAGATCTTGAATTAAAAGCACCAAGCCGTAACTTAATGATTGACGTCGCTGTATTGCACCGAAAGATCCAAGTCTTTTATGAAATCTGTTAATCCTTGCGGTCATGTTGGAACTCCAGATCCAGGCCTAAAGTTTCATATAGTCAACCCTGACTAGGTTATTGTACAAGATAAATATTAATATTATTGCCCTATTCTTCTAAGACTATTTACTTTTATCATTTTGTTTCATTTCAGTTAAAGGCTTTCTTCACAGAACATTTGCATACTGATGAAGAGATACGATTGGTTTTAGAAGGATCAGGCTATTTTGATGTGAGGGATCTTGAGGACTCGTGGATCCGAATTGAAGTCACCCCTGGCGATCTCATTATCATTCCTGCTGGTATCTATCATCGCTTCACCTTGGATTCCAAAGTAATTTTTATTCAATTTTGATCTTGTTGGGGCGGTGGCAAAGAATTTTTGCAAAGTTGTTGGATAATTTTTCCAACTTAAAATTTCGTAAAAAAAAAACCCAAGAAGTATATTGTAAAGTCCAAAAAATCTTTGCCGAAGGGGAAAAAACAATTATGAAGCTGACTTTTGAGTTGATGCAGCGAGGCGATGTCTAAAGCTGAGTTCAGCCAATTAGTAAATGCCTTATCCTCCCCCTAGCGACGTCAGCAGAGCCTGTCAAAAATATCGTTCCAAATAGATCCCACTTTTGGCATTTTCGAAACGAGGTCTTCTTTGCCATTTAGAGTTAAAAATTCCCAGGAGCTTAGTTCATTCCATACATTCAAAAAATGAACTACAAAAATGGTTGTCATGGAACCATTGTGCCTATTTAGGTGGGGAACCAAATCAAGGACCATAACATGAGTTTTGTCTTTAAATTTTTTTTTAGAATACCTATAACGGAAAAATTAAAGTTTCCCAAAATCATCACCTAAAGTAAGAGAATAGCAATATGTGTGTGGGTCAATTGAAACTTCCTGCTTACAAAAAATCCGATTTTCCTTGAGCACTTGATTAATCATAGTAAGTTTTATGGTGGACGAATCATTTTTTGGGCTGAACTCTTTTTAGCATGTTTTCAAGTTTGAAGGTAAGTGGTCCAGAGGAGGGGAAAATTTTGTTTAACCGAACACTGATTATTTTTTAGACAGAGTCGATTGTTTTCAGAGGTCAATGACGGTCACAGTGAATAAAGTCTGTTATTCTCTCTATTTTCAGAATTACATTCGAGCTAAACGCTATTTCATCGGAGAACCTGTGTGGACTCCATATGATCGGCCGGCAGATCATATGCCAATTCGGAGTGGATACTTACAGAAAATGGGTAGGAATGTAACCTCTGGATAAGAAAGATTGATCCTTGAATAATGAATGCAAAATTGTTAAATGTTTGTTTGTTAAGTTTTTAAATGAATGAAAGGATAACAATCATTTGTCTCTTGGTATCAGAAATAGTTTCCAAGTTTAATTTTGCAAAGACTTTGGGAAATGTTTGTTATCGTTTTTAATTCTCTGAAGCCTTTATGGAGGCATGTTAAATTGTTAAATTAATTTTGTAAGGTGCCAAATAAAGTGTTTCACTGATCGAATGCATTAGAATTCATTTCTTAAAAATAATACGCCTCCTGAGCATTACGAAGGGCAGAATCTGAAAATCCTGAATTTAGCACTATCTGTTCTACGAATGGCTCCCTAAGATGAATATACATAGGTGGATGGAAGACATAGTTTAGGGCCAAGGGTTTCACTTAATTTTTCTGAAAACGCTACTAAAATTCATTCAAGTTCCCTAAGGATCAACTTGTGGGGATCACCAAGCACATTAAATAAGTAGGAGGCTTGAAATTTGATTGATATTTTCCAACTAGGCAGTATTCAATGAGAGGGGACCAACGACATCAGCTACAGTGCTTTAGCGAAGGAAATGGATTAGAGGTTCCATACCTTCATGAGACTTCATGTAAAAAAAGTAAAATCCAAAATTTCCACATATACTAAGACATTTGTTTTGCAGATTGTAAATTTTAGATGAAAAACGTGCTCTCATGAAAAACTCAGAACTATCTTTCACCAAATTTGTGGACTATGTGACTGATTCCTTTCACTAAAGATTATCTCTCTGGCGAAAGGACAATGAATGTTGACAAATGACAATGTTGCTGAGGCAAAGGGTCCAAAACAATTACCTCTTCAAAATGGACTGAATATTTTGACCATCCATATGATTGCATTGATTGCTAACACGTGAAAAAACTTGCAAATGCCAGAAAGGAAAAAAACATAATGTTTGACCGATTAAGTACCTATACAAAAATTAGGGAACCCTTTTGCGTAAACATTTTTTTATTACTTTGTTATAGTAAATTTCAGAATTCTGTACCCATTCGTTTCATTTGTCGCATTATTAATATGCAACAAATTAAACCAACGAAAGAAAAAAAGAATTCAAGCCATAATTATTGCTTGAACTCTTTTTTTCTTTTTCATAGCAACATTTCAATAATAATTTTTAGAATTTCACAAATTATTCTTTTTTCCCCTTTTTTTTAGTTTTTTTTTTGTAACTTTTGTGGATGTCACATGGAATCTCTAAAGTAAGAGATTCTGGGTTCAAACCTAAATTTTATTTTACTACAATTTTTTTTAAAGTTAAAATTGGATCACATCTCGCAAAAAACAAACCAGCACTATTACAGTACTTTCAAAAACCTTGCAACTCCTCCTTTTCTTTTAAAAATAATTATTATATGTACAGTATTTAAATTAACAATTTTTTGGTAGGAAGTCAATACAATTTTCTGTTCAGGAGATTCATCTAGATTATTATGAAGAGGCAAAATTTGAGGCATTTTTTGGTAAAATGACGTAGGTATGAGGCTTGCAATGCTGGCAAAATTGTGCAATTTTTTATAACGTTTTCGGCAGATGAAATTCGATCACAGTCAACTTACTTCCTTAATAAAATGATGAAAAACTTGCAAAGCAAATTTAGGGAAAAATCCACAACAGAACTGTTGGATCAGTTGCTTACGACTAGAGAACCACGTTGCACAATTTTAGCAGCATTGGAAGTCTGATACGCCCTTTTACTGGAAAATGCCTCATTTTTACAACATTGTAATTGCGCCGGTTCCTTTGTGCTAAATGCGATCCATTGATACTTAGTTGTTGATTCTTTCACCCAAAATTCGATAGTGAGATTATTTAAAGTTTTTTTTGTATTTCGGACTCTGCGAAGTAAACATTTTTTTAGTAGACGGGGACCTAAAACTTCCTCTCTCACCCCTCCTCTCCTCGTTGGTCTCCCATGCGCCGTTGTCTAATTCACAGCAAGGGTCGGCATTGCGCAAAAATTGAAGAGTAATATGCGTAGTCAGAGTTGATTTTCATGCACATGAGGCAACAATGCTCGGGCACCCGTTGTTTGCGTTGTTTTTTCTAGGTTAGATTAGAAGAGTTGTGTCCGATGTCCGATCGTGTCCTGTCCATGCCGTGGAGTTCATCACGCTTTAAATTTTATTCTCGTAGGAAGAGTGTTTTCTGCTGTGCGTTCTTATTTGTTCGAAATGCGAGTCGTTAGTTCTCTTTCGAGTCATTCAGCGTTACACTCCTCCCTTCGTTGCAGTGGAGAACCTTGAATACTGTCTCGCCCCGCATAACGAATCGATATCACGTGAAGGTTCTCTTATCTATCATCGAGCGCCAACCTGCCTTTTCATGAATGAACAGTCTTATTCTGTCATTACTAATTTCGTATCGCAAGTACTCCCGCGCTCTGCACATGATGTGCAACGTGAAATATTCGGAAGTGTGAGCATAACGTGAATCTTTCCCGTTCAAATTAGTGTTGTGAGGTGCAAACTTCAGTGTAGAAACGTGCTGTGCTCATAAGAATGTTACAATGACTTGGATTACATGTTACTGCTCCTGATCACGACAAATTTCCTCTTCCACATGTCGTTGGTAAGATCCTTTGAAAGTACCTCATGATGAACATTTTGTCACTGTTGTAATACTCTTTGTTAAGTATCCGACAATGTAGAAACAACGGTACTATGAATTGTCGGAGAAGTTTAGGGCTTAGTTTTCCCACAAATTTCAGTATCAATGTCAATTACTTTTCTCTGGCAGTATCAGTAGATAAATTGCAAAATTACTACAATCATGTCAAAAAACCATCGCTAGCATTTCTTTCGGGAAAGGCACCACCACTCCTTGTCAGCACTCCTGTCAGGCCTCAGTTAAGTAGGGGATCAAGCGATAACATCATGAGGCCCCTGGCACGAAGGTTTCACTTAGATTGCTTTTAAATATTTTGGCAGTGAATATTTAAAAGACAACAGGGGGGTAACGGTTCAGATGATAACCTGTTCGCAAACATTACCTTTGCATTATACCTGTGCCATCCCCCTTTATGAATGTCTGTGAATATTATCTTGTGACGGTATGTTGGAGTTGGGGGATTATCTTGTGAAGATCAACGGTGACTTGTGACAGTTGTTCTATCTCGGCCAGAGGTCATCGGCTAATCTCCCAATTATTTGGGAGCTCTTTGTCCACACACCTGGGTCTTTTAACAGGAAGCTCGAAAACTTGTTTAAATGAGTGAGTGTATCATGGCTAGTGTACAAGATGAAGTCTACCCCAAGTAAGTTCCCGCACTTTTAGACTACGACAGACAATCTGATGTCAGTTTTGCTTTGAAAGTAAATGCGAGAATCAAGATGGTGGATTTTCTATCACAGTCTGTAAGTGTGTAAACTTATTTGGCATGGACTCTAATCACAGTAAAATTTTGCTGGAAAACATAGTTTATGTCCATTCCTACAGGTTCAATCCTCCATCATCAAGCATGAAGTTGGTAACAGTTTGGAACATTATAGCACATTCATATGACCCATCAGGCTGCATGCGCAGGCCTGAAGTTGCAGCCTGACAGGGCTGCTTGAAGAACCCTCCAAAGTTCTCCCTATTGTAACTATGGCGTAAACCATGAAAATAAATATACAATACTTAAATATGAATAAAAATATAATATAATAAGTAAAAATAAGAATGCATATAAATATTTATTCTCTTGGTCCATGAGTGTGGAATACGTTTAACAGAGTTCCAGGTAAACAGCTTGTTGAGCGGCCCGTTCGGCAAGTTGACATGGAGCCGTTCAACTGTCCAGTGAAAGGACGTGCCCGTACCTGTTTTCAAACCTAACCGTAACAAGCTAAATACTAAACCACAAAAACTAGTGTGGGTAGGGTTCTGCTATACTCAACTGTTCTCTGTGCTAGTCAAATCTGGATTAAAATGCCCGAATGGACACATTTAGACACAGAAGCCAGACTTCTCTACTCGGTACTTAGCAACTATTTATTGTGCTAAGGAACTATGCGGTATGAATTTTCGAATTTTGCCGAATTTCCTCTGATGAAATACTTACTTATTTTTGAGGAAAGTTATGAATAATTTTCCTTGGAATTTTTAATTACTTTTCTCACTTTTTGAAATAAATTATCTATCTGAAAAATTGCACAAAAAATATTTACCAATTTTCCAGTTAACTAATGTTATCTCAGAGAAAATTTGGCAACGTGCAAAGGCTATTGCGGCGTTCCTCAGCACATTTTAACTCCTGGATGCAACTATTCGAGCTCCAAGGATGTGGTCCGTGTTGCCTACGCACGGTAGTGAAGGCGTTTTGATCGTTCAGGCACTCACCACTTCACACGCGCACAGTGGATGGAGACAAAGGGAGAGGTCGGACAAAAATTTGGAAACTTTAAAAGCTCACAACTCCGTTCATACTAAACTTTGAGGTTTTAAAAGTAGCTCCATCGGTTTTCTCGTGAAATTTTCTTTTAGGAGCTCCCCTCAGAATTCAAAATGTGACGAATCAAACATCAAATATTGCAGATTTAGTTAAAAATTATATGTCCGACCTATCTAATTGATTCGATCCACTGTGCGGCGGGCTTACTGAGAGGCTCCAAAAATGGCAGAGCGCTCTCAATTCTTCGCTCACGCTCATACGACAAAGATGCCTTTTAGGTTCGAATAGTGAACAATAGTTGCGCACAGGCGTAAGATGTGAGTATTTTTTGTGCCTCAGACTTGATATCGCGATGTGCTGAGCATGATTTGTGGAGCACATTTTCATGCCTAAGAGATGCCCTCGAAGTATAAATGAAGATTTAAAATCAATTCGTCATTTTCGATCCTCGCAGTAAAGTCCACCTACAATGAAACGAGCCCTTCATCGCACCCTCAAATAATTAAGAAAGAACAAGCATGAGTGTGATTTAATGATTTTAATTTCCGCCACTGCGCCCATGCGCACTGTGTTCGGCGCAATGCGTGAAGTATCCCTACAGTCTTGTAGGCGCTATGCGTTTCGAGCTGACCGCTGCTGCTGACCGCACTGTTTTTGACGCAATGCGTGAAGTATCCATGTAGTCTTGTAGGCGCTAATATGTGTTCTATGCTGGCCGGCGCGGCGCGCCGAGGGCTTCTCCTTTCCATCTTAAGTCCTCGTCATCATTGCTCCCTGCGCCGCCCTGCTCCAGGCCAAATCGTGTGTTTGGTTTCTCTCTTAACTAGACTAATGAAAGGCGATGTCTCTTGTATCACCGAAAGACAAACAAATTAGAAATTACTATACTTTAACTCTCAGGAAATGAGATATTTTTTCGCCTTTTCTCGTTCGTGTTTTTTTTCTGAATCAGGTTTTTTTCTCGATACTTACCTACATTTGATAATTTTACAACATTTGTCGCCCCCTGAATTTGCCACCATGGGCCGCGGCATGGCGACATTGCCAGTCCTTTGTCAAATCGCAATTCCCTCACACATGCAACATCTCCATTTTGTTCGTGATTTGATCCAAAATATTTGAAAATTTCAAAGGAAAATATGAATAACTTTCCTCTGAAATACATGTTTTATCCAGGGACTCTCGAATGTTCATACGGCGTTTTCCCTTAGCACGGCAGATTACCTCTCTTGTAGCATCATATGATCAAGTTAGTGAGGTAGGTGATGAAAATTAGGATACTTTCTTATGTGATAAACAGTGGGGAGGCGTGAGTGCTCGACTATCGACATCTCCCCATTTGAAGCTATTGGTGAAGAATCTATTACTTATTAAGGTGTTCGTTGCGAACTCCCTTTTTATCGATCCTTTCCATCGGTTTAAATGGCAGATCAATCGATGCTAAGCAAAGCACGCCACGCCACACTGAAAAAAAATCTCGGTGTATTTACTAAGAAAAGGATGAAATTATCAAGAATTCAGGGTTCTATTTGATCCCAGTTTTTTCTTGGTAAAATTACCATTTATGGAATTGGTAATTTTACCGAGAAATCTCTGTAAAATTATTGAACTTTCTCGGTAATTTTACTGGACCTTGATAAAAACGCCAATACTTTTTATCGACTGTGGTAGAATTATCGAGATAAAATGGCAAAGTTACCGGGAATTGATTACCAATAAAAGTGGTATTCTTACCTGAAAAAAAAGTAAAAATACCGGTCTGTCTTGGTAAAATTACCAATAATTGGTATAAAAAGTGAGATGGTAAAGGTACCAACGGGCCTTGGTAAAAACGCCGAGAATTTTTTTTCAGTGCACTCGTGATAAAAACAGCTTTTCCAAAGCTAACCTTGCCAAACTTGTTACTTTTTTCTCGATGTGCATTACTGCATGATGATTACAATCAAATTCCCTTTTGGGGGTCGCAGTGTGACGTCTTGCACACGGAAATGGATCGAAATAAAATTGATGATCATAGGCCAGAAAAAGCGTTAGATAGTGCACGTCAGGGGTGCGAATTATTCTCGACCGAATTGCGGGCATGCCCTAAAAATTGCGGAGGCTGAGTTTTTTTTTTTTTTTTTTTTTTTTTTTTTTTTTTTTTTTTGAGAGTTTTCAGGTTAAATCAGCGCGTTGTGTTTACCTGCTTTTTGCGAAAACCTTGCGCGTTCCGAAGATCTGAAAAAATTTTGATCGGCGCGCTGTGCTGTTCTTTTTGCAATAGCCTTGCGCGTTGCAGATAATTCCGGAGGCCTAAAACAAAATAGGCACACCTCTGGAGCACGTGAAATATTCACGAAGTTTTTGAAATTCAGTGAGGAATACGTTTTAGGCTGTCGATTAGGAGTCTGTGGTGAATAATTATCAAAACACTGCCAATATCGTTTGGGGGCATCATTTTACTTATTCACGGTGTGTTTGGACAAAAACTTAAATGGTAATCCCTGTTCATTCCCGCCAAAAATTAAAATATTCTATTGAGCTCCTGGGAGTGAAAGGGGAAATCTCTTGGAAATGAAGAAGCGAAAAGGGGAAAACCCCTCGCACAGCTTTCCTCGCTTAGATGGAATCGAAACTTTTATATGAGATTACATCTTTGAAATTTTCAAGGCCGCTAAAAAAAGCACCTTCTCACTATAGAGTTGCCAAGTTGAGATTTTTGGATTTTAATTTTAAAGAAGGAATAAACTTATTAGTTTGTACTTCATAGCCTATACTTAAGCGTTTAAAGTATGCATGGGTATGATGTATTAGTGACCATAGCCTTCTCAGTACATTCCAAGCGTTGTTGCCATTTTGAAATTTTCTTGAAGACATTCATGTTTCTTCTTGGTGTTGACCGATGTTTGAAAATGAGGAAAAAAAATCGGTCGAATCCTTTGATTCAACCGGCTCCTATTACAACCGTTTTTAATTTTAAGAACTCTGATCTTCAAAAGACAAAAAGGTAGTAGACAGAGGGTAGAACGGATCACGGCAATCTTGCACACGATCTTTTTATTACCCTCGTGTTGATTGATAGGGATTCGACCGAGTTTTTCTTTATTTTCAAAGATCGATCATTGCCGTGCACTTATTTAACGTTACCTATATTTAAAGTCAATGTTAAATAATATTTTTTACGGCGATGGTATGTAAACAAGACTTGACAGCAGTTTTACCGTTTGGTTGCCATTCTTTCCTACGCCCTGAGCAGCGGGCGGTGAAGAGAATCGAGCCAAGTTAGGTTTGGTTGGGTTAAGCAACTAAACTAACTCCGCGGGAATGCTTATGGTATCAAGCGAAATTGAAGGCGTTTCGCTGCGCTCTCGCAGATCTGTATTACAACTACATCACGGCGTGCTTGATAAAATGTAAATAAAATGGAAATATCTGTTGATGGGACCTTTGGGATCTTGTAGTAGGGACCCTTACTAACATTCCAGTCAAATTAAAGTATTCTATCGAGCTCTTGAAAATTAAAGCCCCCCTAAAGTTATTCAAGGGTCAAATTCCAGAGCGTGAAAGGAGGAAAAAAAGTCCGCGCAGCTTTCCTTGTTCGGATGGAATTGAAATTTTTATATGGCGGTCGAACAAAAATTCTATCTCTGAAATTTTCAAGATCCCCAAATCATATATTATAGCTACAGCATTGCCAAGTAGACATTTTTGGAATTAATTTTTTTTAAAAAAAGGAATAAATCTATTGATTTTCTTTGTTCGGCCCAAAAACGTCAAAAGTATCCATGTGGATGATATAATGAAGACCATAGCCTTTTCAATACTCTATCCAAGCGTCGTTGCCGTTCTAATTTTTTTTCAACTAAATTCTACATAGATAGAGATAGATTATATATCTAGAATAAAGTGATTTCTATTCTATTTCTATTCTATTCTATTCACATTTCATCGATGATGCAGTGTTTTTGCGGTATAAGTCATGGGTTAGTGTGCCGTACAACGTTTATCCTGCGTCTAAAATAAATGTTCCGCTTGGTCTAAAAACTTCCTTGCCTCCTGAAATTTCATGAAATATTTCACAGAAATTGCCAATCTTAAAAAAGTTTTTTTGGTTTTATGCTACCCCGACTCTAAATCGTGTGATGGTCAGCTCTCATTAAGTAACTAGCGTAAGTTTATACCAATCGCCAATCGCTCTTATCCATGAATGTCGAAAGTACTTTCCTTTGAATGTACTGTGGACAACGTCTGATAATATGCCGTCTGTGCATGCCATCGGTATCACCAAACACAATCTCTTCTTTTAGCGAGGAACAACATTGTACTGCTCTTTCCGCATGCACTCTGCATAGCCAGAGAATTGTGTTCAAAAAACGATTCTGTCTTGATATCATTCATTTCCCAGTCGACATTGCTCTTTCATGCTTGTTTCTTAATGGAAACCCCACCCTTTTCCATTCACCTTTTACATTTAAGCAACTATTTTTCTTTTCTTTTTTAGGTCGATGCCCGAAGCTGCTTCTTTCCGGGCGAAGGAGAGAAGAAATTCTACATGTAAGTCAGTTAACCAATCTTTTTTTATTTCTTTTTTCTCCTTCTTATCGAGATGATTTTCCCTTTGTCAGTACCTAGTTGTGTTCTGTCGACGCACACTGGGCCAAATCAATAGGAGTAGTCGGACGAAATTTGGAAACTTAAACGCTTACAATTCCGTTCATAGAAAACTTTAAGGTTCTAAAAGTGGCACCCTTGATTTCCTCGTGAAACTTTCTTCTAGAACCAACCCTTTAAATTTAAGATGTGACGAAATAAACATTAAAATTCGAAGTTTTTGTCAAAAAATTCATGTCCGACCTCTCTTTATTGTCTGGATCCACCGTGCGACGCGGAAACTGGCGCGAGGGTGCCGTTTCGAATCAAGTCAGGTTTTTTTTGGAATGGGCATGGAAGGAACCAGTGGAAATCGACTTGGCCCCTTTCAAGGAATGTGAGAGATTTTGCTGAGTACGTGCGTGACTTATATTTGGTCTTTGAAATTACCATTTAATAAATTTTGCTGTTAGGACAACTCAAAATTGCTCCTGACATGACTCAGTTTTACAACATTATTCGGGTGAGCCCCTCCTCCACCGCAAAGTCCAATTTGACTGGAAGTGAAAGATGCTGCGCGAGAAGACTAATCAATTTGGGCTGCATTTCCGGGAGAACAAGTCTTAAGTCTATGTCATGCCATTGCCTGAAGTATACGTATACGAAGTGCGAAGCCACGTGTCGTTGTAGCTGTGTTTCAAAATTTCCGCTCCTATTTTATTTTTTTGAGGAAAAACAAGTTGACTACCTAGTTTCAAATGTATGCACAACTTTCTCTCCAACTGCCAGAGAAGAAAAATCAAGGAAGTTTTCAAGAAAATACGTCGTCTAGTTCTCCGAAGAAAAAGAAAAGTACGACAAGAAATCTGCAACGTTGCAAATGGAGATACGTGGTTTCGCACCTTGGTCAATTGGTCATCGATGTAGATTATAGTTTGCATTATGGCAACCCTTTATTTTTTTCGTCATACCGCGAGCAAATAGAAGAAAGTCCGGGGAAGAGTGTCGAGAATCTTTTATTCCGCGGTTGAACGGAATCGAAACACATGAACAACTGTACACGGTGAATTGACGCAAGGCAGTCAGTTTTAGTCCGAGAAAACAGCAGTATGTAAACAAAATTTATTACGGTAATTTTAGCTTTCTTTTCGTCTAAAAATATTCAAAATCGGTTCAGCACTCCCAACTCTCGGTAACAACGTAGGCAGAAAGTTCGTAATTACTGACCCGGGGNGGGGTCGAGAGGAGCGTTACGCCATTTTTTTTTTTTGATGCGTTGACGGATAGGAGCTAACGTAACTATAGCGTCATAAGGGGAGAGGGGGGGTCAAAAATTCCAAAAAATTGAGTTACATACTTTATGAACACTCCCTTAGTAGTTGCACGTATAGGTGCGAATAATTTTATGGGCTCATTTAAGTATTTGTTCAGAAAATTGTTAAAATAACGGCCAATCCCCATGCGTTTTACGGTCTCCTTTCCTGAATTTTTTTAAATATATTTTTCTTTTCGAAGTAAGAGAGAGAGGAATAAGTAGGTCCACGTTTGCCTAATTTTTTGTGGATATGTGTCACGTGACGCGTGCCTTACGAAGGGCATCTTTAAAGCGAAAAAAAAAAAAAAACCCTCCTTGGTAATCTTCGTTGCCCGTGAATACTAATCGACCCCCTCTCGCGCCTCTCCTTTTTCCACCCTCCATGATCTACCACAATGAAAAAGGCCTTTGGATTAGCGTGGGTGGCAGCCGAAAACGCTGGGGTTGACCGCGAAACTAGTCAATGGCCGAGGCCAAAACGCGTCGGACCTTGACAGTGTTGTTCTTGAAGTGTAACTCAACATGCAATGTCGCATCGATTGCTCCCAGAGCTTCAAGTTCAACCCTGTTGATAGCTCCCAGCTCAACCCCCGTTTCAACCCCCTCTTCGTGACTGCCGATTATTTGCCTCCAGATTCACCCTCAGTTTACGTTGCGCGTACCGATCGCCACCATTTCAACATGTTGTAATGTTGAAAACATGTTGTGTTGTATTTTGGGAGTTGGGGTTATACACAAAATGACACGCGTGTTTTAGTATGAAGGAAGTTATTAACTCACCGAATGCACGTCGGATTGACTCATCATCAGCGTTAAATAAAATTGTACCTAGTTAGGTACAAAGCCAAAATCACAGGTTTTTTTTTTTTAATTCTTTGACGAATTGACAATAAAGAATAAATTTAAGGAAAAGATAGGTATGTATCGACGGTGAAATTACCAGACCTGGTTGCGGATTTGCGATGTTTAAAAATCTCCGCTCCTATTAGCCCAGGCAATAGAGGATAGAATAGGGGTTTACCTTGCAAAATTTAGGTGAAATCAGGTTATGATCGATTCCTATGTAATTTTTTACGCTGAATTCGAATTTTTGGTTTCCCAACAAATTTTCCTTGTGCTAACTCCGGAAAATCGGAAAAACCGCGAAAAATCACGTTTTTCCGCGGTTTTCCCGTGATATCTCTTTTCCCGTGCGATATATCGAGAAAATGGTTATTTCCAAAAATAAAGCTGATAAAATTTCCTATAAAAATGATCTGAACGTTTTTCTCATACGTCCACTAGGGAGAGAGCTGGAGCCGTGGAAAGCTCTAAAAACTCGTAAAATCGCGATTTTCCACGGTTTTTCGCCATTTGTGTGCAATAAATTTGTTCTTTCGCAAAATTTCAGGATAGTCTTACCTTAAAAATTAATGCTGCCTACTTTTAAGACAAAAATGATGCCAATTTTTTCTTTATAGGTCCATTGGAAGCGGTTGTAAAGCCGTGAAAAGCCATGAAAAGCTCGAAAATCGCGATTTTCCGGCATATTTTCGTAACAAATCCGTTCCTGTCCAAAAAACTCATTTAAAGTGACTTCAAAATTCAATCTTATAAAATTGTCAACATACATACGTAGAATTTGCTCCCATGGCGCGCCCTCGTGCTCTGCGACATCCAAACGCCAGGTGTGCTTATCTACGTAAGGGTTAGTAGACAACGAACGACGTAATAAAATAGTGCAATTTTCAACATACTTAAATGTTGTTGAAATTTCCTTGTATATCTGAAGAAACAACGGATATGGATGGATGGAATGATGTTGTAATAGTGCAATCCTGCATTATTTACGCTTTCGACAAATCCATATCGTAAATAATGCAAAAAGTTGAAATTTGAAGAATGTACTACTACAATTTCTGAAATGATTTTTCTAAATTTGTGGATATTTCTGTTACACATCCGTTCTTGTGCCAAAAACTCAGCTAATGGAGACTTCAAGATTTAATCTTATGAAATTGTCAACACATTTTTGACGTGAAAAGCTTTTAGCATGGGTCAAAAAGTGCCGCATAGAGAATTATGTGTAGCTCAAAAAATGCGAAAAATTGTGATTTTCCACTTTCAAGCCACAAATGAATCATCTTGTGTAAAAATATGGGGCTAAAAATATACCTCAAAAATTTAAATTCAATGTGATGATGTTTTCGGTGGATTAAATTGCACAATTATGTGTCGAAATTTTAATGGTACATGTGAGAATGCACTCGATGAGGACTTATCCGCGGAACTTATCGTAGATGATCCTGATGATTTATGGAATATACTCCTGAATCGTTCACAGAAAGAACAGCAGACGACCGAAGAGATGAAAGAAGTTCGGAGACGTTTGCAGGTAGGTATTAATTTCACTCAATTTGTTTTTTTATTTTTATTTAAATTGATAGAAATGGCCAGTGATGCTTAAAAAAATGTACTCATTGACTTCATATACCGCAGAAATTCAAATCACGGTTTCTTCCACTTCGGTTTTATCAGTGATGTAAATGAAGCGACTCTAGGTAATTGAGAAAACAAGAATGAGAGTAATCACGGCACGCACCCGTGAACTACTCATAATTTTGGGAGGCTTGTACGATAGATGTAGAATTTTAGCCTTATGGCAGATCACATTAATATCCTTGATTTCAGCAATCATGACATTACTCTATTAATTGCACAAGTGTCACATTATTTCCAAATAATTGTAGCGTCATTATGAACCAACAATCAATGGATAAATATACTCATTGACAACAAAAATAAGATCCTGAAATGCCAAGGAAGCGAAAAATCGCGATTGTATCTGCGAACCGTATAAATGCAGGTTGCTTTACTCATTGTTCTCCTCTCAGATTAATACCAAAAGATTTTCCTAGGCATACGTTTCTCTTATTCTAGTAAACGATGTTGCAAAAGCTCAAACGAGCAATTCAAATTAAGATAAATCCATACCAGAAGTTCCTGTTCTCCGATTTAGACGATGTCATGCTGAAGTCGTAAAATACTGCAAAGACGGCAATGATGACAACGCAGGTGAGAATTTTCCCATCAAGTTTACAATACATTTTCCATGAGTTGATTGAGCAGAGAAAATTTACATTATAGTAGGCACAAATTAACATTCTCAAATAGCAGAAAAGAAAGAAAAAAACACCAATAACACCTATAACAATTCAACAATTACGTTCCTCTTGCCATTTTAAACCATGACCCAATTTTATAACTTAGTAGCTCTTTCACCGATAGAAAATAATATGTTAGGTTATGCCATTATACCCGTGCTTTTCAATTTGATTTCAGATCCTCAGGACATTCAGTCAGCAGAGTGCCTGACCATGCATCTGAATTATACTTCTTGACATTGAACATATTTACTATCATAGTTCTTATCTAATTATTACGATACTATTATAGTTGTTTTCGCATAATTGAAAAATTGTATCAATACATTCTTTAAATTTCAAACTTTTCAACTTTTTGCATTATTTACGCTTTCGACAAATCCATATCCGTTGTTTCTTCAGATATACAAGGAAATTTCAACAACATTTAAGTATGTTGAAAATTGCACTATTTTATTACGTCGTTCGTTGTCTACTAACCCTTACGTAGATAAGCACACCTGGCG